CATAACAACAATGATGTAATATGTCACACTGAAAAGGTGAGCGTACTAACAATAAAATTATTTCCTCCGCAACTACTATTATTGATGACAATATTAGTAATAGCAGAAATTGATCTGGAGAATGAACTAATGCAATATATATTTGGCATTGTAAATGCTCTGATACCATGCCGTCCTGGGCTGCTTGACTGAACCTCTTTGTAACAAAGACCAAAAGCACGGTGATTTTGCCGCAAAAACCGGCCTTCATCCAGCTGTTACAAACACTTCACGTACTTGATGAAGTTCGTAGCGATTGTTCTTTATTTTGTATTGTTTTGTTTATATATTATTTGGTTGTTTATTGTAAATATTTTCCTCCTAAAATTGACTATTTACCCTAAAATGCTCTAAAAGTCTGGAAACAGCATGTTGAGCGTTGCACTACTGAGTTCCTGTAAAATAATTTTGTGATGTTTTTTCTTTATATTTGTTGATTTGATCGTCTGTTTTATGTTGTGTTACTCGGTTAGCTGATTAAAATATTCTGCCACGGCTGGGTTAACCGCAGTTGTTCGTAATTTAATGTGTCAGAGTGAATTAAAGTGTATTTGTTAACATCACGTTGTTAACGTTTTATACAATTGTCTTGATTAATGCCGATAATTGATATTAAGTAAAATTTTCCATAAATGAAATGAGTAATTCGTTTCAGTCAACTGATTCTGCCTGCCACCAGCTTCAACAAGATTCTAGGCAGCGTCATGGTGCTGAATATGAAGATGATCAGTGTCGGTTTCGATATGGACAACATGAATGATGCTGCAGTCGTTCCAGATTTTGTTGGTTTCTTTGGCTATTGTTTTCATGTTGGCACAAGTTTGTTTGGACCGTGGTTAAGCTTTAACAACTGCTGTACGGCTATGAGAAGCGCTTGTTTTGCGGTATGTTTATGCATATTGTATTGTGTAAATTTTTGTATTAATTTTTTTTCAGAGTGTACTTTCTTCCATTGCACGAGCAGCATACTGCGGAATACTGGCATGTTGCTTTCTTTTGTACTCTTCATGCATTTTGGACTGGTTTTTGCCTGACGAATTGGGATTTTATAGCAGGTAAGAAAGACTTTCGAAAGATGAGTCATTTTTGCATGCAGAAGAAACACTTTACAACTCGGATCTCACTGTCGATTCGTCGCGAATAAGGTTCTGGTTTCATTTCAAACTAGGGCAGGTCGAAGCTTGTGCTTTTCACTAATTTTTTTATGTAGCATGGCCGTTTGCTTTTGGACAATTTCATAGCGTTCCATTGCGAGGGGAATCGTTTCTCCGTTCACACCAGTATGTGCCTTAAACACTTTTCTTGCCCAACGCTGTTCATTAGTTACTTCATTATGACCGATTGCGAGTCCGAATCCTCAGCCAGTTCATTTCATTCAGTGCTGCACACTTGCGTTCGTTCTGAGCATCTGATCACTCAAAGTCGGTTCAACGCTCTAACCGGTTCATGCGGATCTGGTTCTCTGAGTAGTGTCTTTTTTTCTTGCCAGAATTCTCTTAGGATCAGTCGTACACAAAAGGCTGGTTATTAGTTTTCCATCTTCAGGGAGGCAGGGGGTTGTAAACATACTGGCTCTGCGCGTTAACGTTATCTAATACAGCCTTAGGTACGTTTGTTGAAGCTAATAGCTTGTTTGATGGTCTTCTTTCAATATGACAAGTGTTAGCAAAATCCGATGCTCATATAGTCTGCACTGATGCATGTGATATCTGAGAATCTTAGTTGTAGCATTCCTTCTATTTTACTAGGTAATACAATGGGCCACAACACGGCTGTTATCTTTCTCCCATTGACTGATTCATGAAATGATCCATTCCTTTGTTGTCAGAAGGGTGACCATATTTTGGCTTTGTTTCGTGTAATATGCGTACTGGCACAGGCGAGAAAGTCATTGTTTTCATTTTAAGCCCATTTTCACCGTAGCCTGTATTTGAGTTACAAAGGAATATATAGAGCACAGTACTTATGAGTTGTTTGTTAGTCAACACCCGGATTTTAAGTTTTCAATTTAGATTTTATATCCGTCATTTTCACAGTGTGCGGGCTATTCTTTTCTGATCACGGGTATTGCAGTATACTTTTCAGTGGTCCTTCGCCAATCTAGCTAGATCTATGTTGTAAACTTCTAGGCGTAACAATGCTAACTGTGCATTGTGCTAGAGAATGTACTCGATATTTCTCATCCTCTGTCTTCCTTGTCTTTAATACCTGTCAGTTCTCTGTGTGCTGCTCACAGTTTTTGCAGATGGTATATTTTATAATTTATATTAGGGATTTATTCGTTTTTCTGAAGTAACTGGTTTCGAATCTTGTGTTTAGATGGATCATCGCATTTCGGGATGCTCAGTCGTTCAGATGCAGTCACTACTTTATCTCCTACTTATCTTGTTCTCTTGTTCTTTTGTCTGGTATAACGGAACTTACATCTTGCCAAAAGGGTGAAACTGATAAAAATGGCGTAAGGTAAATTTATTCTTTGAACATATGAATGTATTGTGTGTTTACTGTTTACATTGCTGTATTTTGTACCTTTCATATTTAACACTTATTTAATCCCACCCTTGGAAATGTTTTATCTCTTAAACTAATTTGCAATTACGTATTGTGATGTGAAAATTGAATATTTCATTCGGGCGTTGGTGGTCATCATGAAAACAGCATAAAACAGGTTTTTTGTACAAAACGCAAGCAATTTTGTCAATCAGGTGATTAATCATTACGGACTTTCCGCTCATGTTTTTCGAGCTTTCGTAAACCCTCAGTAAAGAGGCGGGTTGACTTTAACTTAGAAAGTTTTTTGTCGTTCGCAGCTGTTGTAACGTTTGAATTTTCTTGCTCGAAACATTAGAACAGCTCTGAGCGGACGACTTCTGAAAGGAAAATATCACTGAAGCTCTAAGATGGCGATTGAGAAGTCTCAGGGGCGGAAAAGTCTGTACTGGCCAATCACCCGATAATGAAATTGTTTGCGCAGCTTATAAATAAACCATATTTTATGCGGATGTATTATAATCGTTGTACACTTTAAACAGCGAGTTTTATTCTTCTCGATTGATCCTAGCACACTTTTTGTAAGTGGGCATAAAATCCATGATTGCTTGTCCTTACGACCTTGACGATTCGCGGAAAATCTCCTTGTTTAAGACGCCGCGTTATTATTAATTATTATTCTTTATTATTTATTTCCTTGAGCTGTGATTTGAAGTACAAAGCCTATGTGTTTGCCATGACATCAGGACATTTGGGGGGGGGGGAGTATTTCGTACTTCTGTTTACTTCTAAACTTATGAATTTAATGACTACTCCTTCTACTTTAGCTACATGTTAACGTGGGATGAAAGGATTTAGAGTTACCATTCGTATAATCGCTAAAAAATCATAAAAAAATTTTTTCGCCCATACATTTGTCCTCTTGACGGAGGACAGAATCTTAAGTATATAAGATGAACAGCATGCCTTAAGAAAAAAACGTTGCAACCATTGGGATGGCGTCTTTCTGAACAATTCTACGATGAAGCTGTTCTGGCATCCTTCTTTTCATGCAGAGTATGGTGTGGCGCTGATCGGTTTCTATGTTATTAACCAGGGATGTTTTATTTTAAACGCAATATCTGCACATACGCAGCAAGTATGACATGTAGTCCCATAAAACCGTACTCCTTGTTCTATCTCAGAGAGACGAAAGATGGAGTGCTGCCTGAACCGGGATCAGAATTTACGATCTTTTGGAGATAAATCCGCAGGTCGGTCTGGAAATGTAATTATGAATTCAAGGAAATAGAATCTCCGCCAATTTTACGGTTTCCTGGAACAGCCAAAAATTTAAAATGAACCAAACTTGCATTCGCGTTCCTTTCATCCGCCTGAACGACGGCTGACAACTGTCTATGTTTGTCCATATTAACGAAAATAATTTAAGCTGCTTTAGAGTTGCTCGCCCGCTGGCCATTGAACTGCCTCGCTCCCTGGTGGACGTTGTTGTTGGCTGGAATTTACCTATGCATAATTTTTTGAAGAACTGTACGTTGCAACGTTACTTCTAAAACCTATCATCCATTATTTGTAGACGTTTTTCAGAAGTTCAAAAAATACGGTTCTTTTGCTGGTCTGATGATTACTTACGCCGTCAGTTCTCTGCTACATGTAAACAAATTTTGTCTCCTCATCCTGTTGTTTTACCCTAATATTTTAGGGTTTCAATTTTCAGTTGTCGGCTGTCCTTTTCTCGCTGGGGTTTTACACCTACAGTGAATACGGTACTCTTTTTATTCTCTAATTCCAAATATCGATTTCATGGCAATTGACAGACATAGAACTTTCCCTGTTGACTGTTCATTAACACATATTACTGGCCCGTATGTAGAATTTCTAAAATTTAATTAAGGTTATCAGAACTGTGAAGAAAGGTATGATTAGAAACCTGAAAAAAATAATTATTAAGTGAAACATTTGGAACCCACAACGTTGTTCCTTCTTCAGAACCAATTCATAATGTTTAAAAGAGATGCGCTTTTTTAGCCAGTAAGATATCCTATTGCAATCGCTTCTTACTTCCTTGTTCTGAAGTTTTCTGATTATAGTTTACTAATATTGCCATCAAGTTGCACAGAAAGGAATTGTCTTACTGTAACCATCTATCGCTATGCAAAGCTGAACTGCAAAATTTTCATGCATGTTTAGTAATAGCGGTCGCCATCACAATATTCCTCAGCATAATCTCTTTCATCTAAGTTACAACATTCATCTCTCAACGCAACACAGCACAATCTATACCTTTAAGTTTTACCATGCATTTAGTTTCATATCTTCGTCGTTATCTAAACAGAGTCAGATTCAATGTTATGTGGCAAAGGCATCACTCTGTGCAACATCTTGTGTGGCGAACATTTTACAACACACTTTCTGCTTAAAACTAAGAACTTTCGTAAGATTTACATTTGTATGTTAAATAAACGTTAAATAAAGGGTTAAAAATCGTGTAAGCGAGTGTGTGGCCGCTTTCGGACATGGACATGAAAACTATTCTGCTATTGTGAAGCATGCTTTTGACAACCTACTCCTTATTGGCAACAGAGACGTGAAGATCTCAGCGGGTAACAGCGCTGCTGCTCATTCCACGATACGCGATTCCGCCTTCGTGAAAGCATCTGGTGCGGCCCGTGTAAACGAGAAATTACGCTTGAAAGATCTTTCTGCTAGTTAAAATATCATCCTCGATTAAATGGTTGCAGTTTCTAATCTTTTCCATTTATTTTTCTTTGTTTTCTTTTATCTCATCTTTTTATCACTCTTTTTCATTTTCATCCCTGTCATTTTCTTCCGCCTATTTTTTTTGTTTCAGTTATATTTTTTGTTACAATGCTTTGACTATTCACTTGATGATTTTTGTTATCCGTGACCACGATATCTCCTCGTTGCATTATTAACTTATGCTAAAGGAAGAGCACCGTTGTGGATTGCGAAAGCTTCACTCATTAAATTATGTTTATTTAGCGAGATTTTTAAATGTTTGTCTGTCTGTTCTTATGAAGATCGTGTTGACGTCTTTTCGAACTGAATTGTCAGGACGTTTTTTTTCGCTCCCAGTGAAAAGTAAGTTTTTGCTATTGTGAGTGGGGTTATTTAGTACGCGTCATTCTCCAGCTTTAGACGACACCAGTGCACCGATCTATTGCTCCAACGAGCATAGAGATGCTTTGGATGGAGCCACGACTCCATCCTGTTATAGCGTATATAGTATGTGGGACTGTATGTCGTCTGGGAACAATCTTTGCTCCAACACGGAACCTTTTATCCATATGGTTACCATACCAAAGGGTTCCAACTGGTGCTGATTATGAATATCGTTTATTTTCTTTGGCCGTTGTGAAAAACAAACTTTCCCAGCTAATCCCAAGTTTTAGCCGGAAATGTTGCAAACATAAATGAATGGATGGATACCTAAAGAGGCAGCATTTTGATAGATATCAAATAGGAATCATATAGGGGCAGGTAGGTTGATATATATTGACTTATGTATATGAGCAGATAAGTAAATAGATGCATGGTCAGATAGATCGCTAGTTTAAGAGGTATATATTCAGATATATATCAAGATAGAAAGATAGGTAAATGTAGATAGTTGAATGGGTGATTATTCAGACAGACAGATGGGTAGATAAACTGATCTGTAGATTGATGGATAAATGGATTCCTAGACCGAAAGACATGGGTCGTTAGAGGGGCAGACAGGTGCATATTTGTAGGGCAAATCGATGATATTTAAATGGATGGATGGTAAACAGATGGTGTCAACGTATAGATAAAGAAGCAGATATGATGGTGGATATGTGAATGAATGGACAGACAGTGATATAACATGATAAAATAAGATGTCAATGTAACGAACTGCTTTGTGAACAGAAAAAATGATATTGTTCGGTTTTGCTGTATTTCTTTTTAGAAGTTTTAGTTCTTTTCATGTAAGTTGAACCAAACTTTCATATCTTGAATGATCCGCTACGAACCAACTGGATATAGCATTTTTAATTTATTCTCCAAGTCGACTGTCATAAATAAATGAAATTTAATTGCTTATGCTGGTACCAAAGCTGTTGCAATTTCGATCTTCCTTACAGTCTTACGATTGAGTCATTGTGGCGCACTTTTCGTTAATTTAATGGTGCGGTGCTGATTCCCATTTCTATGCCATCTGCCAGGAGTGCTTCTTTTTAAAGGCAGGGTCGACAATAGCGAGGCTGCAAGCATAGTATGTAGTCGTCTGTTCCCTTCTCACGGGGTGGTACTCATTTATCAACCTACGAAGTAAGAAAGACGAGTGACCATGACTGGGGTTCTAAATCAGGACCTCTCACTTTTGATATTCTGCAGACTGAGCAACCCTCTTCTGAAGCAACTTGTGTTAAATTCCCTGCTCAATGTTTGCCCTACAGAGGAATTGAACCTGATGTCTCCGGAGTTCGAAACCGACCTCCTGGCACTGTGCCCCCATGCCACTCAGTAATGGTGCCGTTTGCATCAATTATTATCTGGGTAGTAATGTAGAACAGCGAATTTACACTCGCAATTTTTCCATACAAAATTATTCTAACTTATGCGACGTTTTGAATTGCTTAAGCAGAGAATAAAATAACATTTTTTCTAGGGTATTTGGACACATTTTTAGATTCTGAAGATTCCTGTTTGAGACACATGTTAATAAAAACTGATAAATTGTGCATTTCATGAGTATCTTTTTACTAAGGCTGAAATTAGTTGAGGGTTCTTCGTTAGCTGCATCGGAAGCAAGAAGTTCTAACCAATGCCACTGGTGCGGGAAACTAGTAAAATGTGTGCCGAAATATCTCGGAATTTGTATGGTCAGATCTGAGAATATCACTCGCTTGACGTAAGTAATCAATGACAGGGTACAAGTCCTGACAAATCGCTTCCAGGGGTCGCTTGCACATCTGCTCTGACAAGTTTTAATCGCTGTCTGGATACGCCAGAAGCTTTATTATAGATTGACAGGAAATGGGACGAATATTTTTGCTAATATCGCGGGGTCGCTATCTACTCTAGTTATCCGACTGTGTAGGGATATCGAAATTTCTCACTTGATCAGTGACTTGGCTGTAAAATAATTTGTTAATTTCATGTACCGCGCTCGTTGAACGTTTATTCAGCTGATTTCAATCTGTTTGACAATAGTCCTTTCTTGGAAGACCATGTTTCGATATTTGAAGCACCTCTTTCATATTCTTCCAGAACAGCATTCTGTTTGATGAGGCCCAACTGCGGTGTCTAGACGTATTTGTTGCAGATGGTTTGACTGCTGCTGTGGCAGGTCCTTTCGCTTTCCA